ATTAAAATGGTGCAGGAAAACAGGGAGCAAGTTGGGTGAAGATGTACAGTCGTCGGAAACGATCTAAATGACAGGTGAACAGCTCGGAAGGAGCTCGTTTTTAACCATCAGTTTGCTCTTAAGATCCGGTAACGACACAGTCAGAACCTAATAGTAGTAACAGTTGAAACCCACCTCTCTTCTTACAGCAGCCAGTCTGATCAGCGGCATCCGAAGCGCAATACGCCCACGTCGACAGCTGTGACAGACACTTCAGACCAAGTGTTGATCCTAGCTGAAAAAAACTTCTTTGATCTTCTGTACAATCGGTCTCACCGATCTGAAGAGTTTATTAGAGCAATCTAATCCTATAAGCGATTCAACCGCAATGGTTCTTGGAAAAATCCGAGACATTCGATGTTCTTGGGATGCACAACGCATTTGGATTCCATTTGGAATCGAAATGCACTACGAATAATAAAGCCTGCACGATGTACAAGTTATCACAGACAAACATGGTATCAGTTGATCGGTCCGGAAGATTTGGAAGACTTGGTTGGCCTGGCCTAACTCGATCCTGGATTTGTCTTGTGCCAATAGCACTAATCCATTTTGTACTCCAAACCGGGAGACCTTCTTGAAACTGCTCTGGAACTGCGTTCTCCAGCTTATTACTGGGTATTGCTTTTTTCGCTCCCATCAAGAATTGCTCGCAACTATGGACGCTCCTTTCGCCTAATGGCCTCAGAATTGTCTGGTATGCAGTAGAGAGCTGCTATACCATGCGGTCAAGTGGTCCACGCCGGGTTTTTTTTTATTAGAACAGCGTGTAACACTGCGCCACCGATACGCTCTTTAGTTGCTAGCATTCGGCGTTTTTGCGCTAGATCGACAATCGCTGGTTCAGCATTGATCAGCATGACGGGAACCAGCTGGGACTAAAAGCTATGAATATCAGCTTAATCCCGGGAATATATAGTTGTTCTAGAAAAATCCAACAATTTTTTCTTCTAAAAGGTTACTCCATTCTTCTCATTTGCTATATCTATCTATCCGTCTGTTAATCATGACGG